ATTCGTTGTTGCAACCCTAATTAACACTATATAATATATATTAGAAATATTTTAGGAAACTAATATATTAGAATATATTTCAAGCCAAGATGGCGCTGCACATGCAGCAGCCTGTTACGTCGGCTCTCCTTTCCTGCTTTCTCTTCTTTATGATGTTTTTCAAATGTTTTTCTTTTAGCGAATCAGCGTCTGATATTCTGAACGTATGCTCACAGAGGAAGCAAACCTCTGGGACTGTAAGGTTGAGCTTCCTCTTGGTCCCCGACTCCCAACGACTTATTGTTTACACAGGAGGGGGAAGCTGGAGGACACTGGAGTGGACAGACATCTGCTGCCTGGACCATCAACTACCTCAGCGAACACCATTAGTACGTTTGGCTGCACGGCTGTCAGTCAGAGGTCTGCAGTAGGGCACCGTTCTGTCTTCATTCCTCTTCACCATTTACACCTTGGACTTCACCTCCAACATGGACAGCTGCCATCTCCAGATTTTTTCCGATGATTCGGCCATTGTAGGCTGTGTTTCTGAGGGGAAGGAGCTGGAGGATTGATAGGTCATAATGAACTTTGTGGACTGGTGTGAGAAGAACCACCTGTGTCTGAAGTCCAGTAAGACCAAGGAGATGGTGATGGACTTCAGGAGAAGACCCCCACCTCTCTCCCCCATGAACATCCAGGGCAGGACAGCGACGCCCTGCAGAAGGAGGGCCAGAGCCGCCTCCCTCCACCTCCTGAGGAGGCTGAGGTCCTTTGCAGTGATCAGGCTCCTGCTTCAAACCTTCTCTGACTCTGTGGTGGCATCAGCCCTCCTCTACGCTGTGGTCTGCTGGGCCACTGGCAGCGCAGAGCGGGACAGAAAGAGACGTTTCTGTCCAAGGCTGCACTCTGGACTCAGTGGCTGAGAGGAGGGTGCTGTCCAAGCTTCCATCCATCATGGACGCCACCTTCCACCCTCTGCAGCAGACTGGAGAGGAGCTGAGCAGCTCCTTTAGTCAGAGACCTTTACACCCTGCTTGGAAAAAGGAGCGCTACTGCAGGTCATTCATTCCTGCTGCAACCAGACTCTACAGTGAGACACTACAACCACAATAACTGCTGCAATGGAGAATAATTACTATTAATACCCTGTGCAATAACCCTGTTAAATAAGAGAATTCAGCTGTTAAATATATATATATGTTGGAGGACATCACCAAAGACCAAGTTAAAGCTCTGAATCCCCTCCTCCTTTTGTGAGCCCCTCCCGACACTCCTGCAGCTGAGACAAAAAGATTATAGAGGCTTCCGGCTCCTTCTGCAGTCAGCTGACTCACAGACCAATCAGCTGAAAGGAAAGCTGTGATCTCAGCAGGACCAACCCCTTGATGTTTTAAAACCAGAGGCGGCAACAACAATTTCTCTTTACCCTGGTTTATCCGCGCTGTTAAGACAGACAGACTCTAAGTGGATGGAGTCTAATAGAATTAGCTTCCTCTCCTCCTGTCGTCAAAGCCGCGGACTGCAGTGAATTATCGTGCCTGATATCCCCTGGAAGCTATCTGAAAGTAGCGTTCGTTTCCTGCCTCAAAAGCCGCGGACTGCAGTGAATTATCGTGCCTGATATCCCCTGGAAGCTATCTGAAAGTAGCATTCGTTTCCTGCGTCAAAAGCCGCGGACTGCAGTGAATTATCGTGCCTGATATCCCCTGGAAGCTATCTGAAAGTAGCGTTCGTTTCCTGCCTCAAAAGTCGCGGACTGCAGGGAATCATCGTGCCTGATAGCCCCTGGAAGCTATCTGAAAGTAGCGTTGGTTTCCTGCCTCAAAAGTCGCGGACCGCAGTGTATTTATCGTGCCTGATATCCCCTGGAAGCTATCTGAAAGTAGCGTTCGTTTCCTGCCTCAAAAGTCGCGGACCGCAGTGTATTTATCGTGCCTGATATCCCCTGGAAGCTATCTGAAAGTAGCGTTCGTTTCCTGCCTTAAAAGTCGCGGACCGCAGTGTATTTATCGTGCCTGATATCCCCTGGAAGCTATCTGAAAGTAGCATTCGTTTCCTGCCTCAAAAGCCGTGGACTGCAGTGAATTATCGTGCCTGATATCCCCTGGAAGCTATCTGAAAGTAGTGTTCGTTTCCTGCCTCAAAAGCCGCGGACCGCAGTTAATTATCGTGCCTGATATCCCCTGGAAGCTATCTGAAAGTAGCGTTCGTTTCCTGCGTCAAAAGTCGCGGACCGCAGTGAATTATCGTGCCTGATATCCCCTGGAAGCTATCTGAAAGTAGCGTTCGTTTCCTGCGTCAAAAGTCGCGGACCGCAGTGTATTTATCGTGCCTGATATCCCCTGGAAGCTATCTGAAAGTAGTGTTCGTTTCCTGCCTCAAAAGCCGCGGACTGCAGTTAATTATCGTGCCTGATATCCCCTGGAAGCTATCTGAAATTAGCGTTCCTTTCCTGCGTCAAAAGTCGCGGACCGCAGTGAATTATCGTGCCTGATATCCCCTGGAAGCTATCTGAAAGTAGCGTTCGTTTCCTGCCTCAAAAGTCGCGGACTGCAGTGAATTATCGTGCCTGATATCCCCTGGAAGCTATCTGAAAATAGCATTCGTTTCCTGCGTCAAAAGTCGCGGACCGCAGTGTATTTATCCTGCCTGATATCCCCTGGAAGCTATCTGAAAGTAGCGTTCGTTTTCTGCGTCAAAAGTCGCGGACCGCAGTGTATTTATCGTGCCCGATATCCCCTGGAAGCTATCTGAAAGTAGCGTTCGTTTCCTGCGTCAAAAGTCGCGGACCGCAGTGTATTTATCCTGCCTGATATCCCCTGGAAGCTATCTGAAAGTAGCGTTCGTTTTCTGCGTCAAAAGTCGCGGACCGCAGTGTATTTATCGTGCCCGATATCCCCTGGAAGCTATCTGAAAATAGCATTCGTTTCCTGCGTCAAAAGTCGCGGACCGCAGTGAATTATCGTGCCTGATATCCCCTGGAAGCTATCTGAAAGTAGCGTTCGTTTCCTGCCTCAAAAGTCGCGGACTGCAGTGAATTATCGTGCCTGATATCCCCTGGAAGCTATCTGAAAGTAGCATTCGTTTCCTGCGTCAAAAGTCGCGGACCGCAGTGAATTATCGTGCCTGATATCCCCTGGAAGCTATCTGAAAGTAGCGTTCGTTTCCTGCCTCAAAAGTCGCGGACTGCAGTGAATTATCGTGCCTGATATCCCCTGGAAGCTATCTGAAAGTAGCATTCGTTTTCTGCGTCAAAAGTCGCGGACCGCAGTGTATTTATCGTGCCTGATATCCCCTGGAAGCTATCTGAAAGTAGCGTTCGTTTCCTGCGTCAAAAGTCGCGGACCACAGTGAATTATCGTGCCTGATATCCCCTGGAAGCTATCTGAAAGTAGCGTTCGTTTCCTGCCTCAAAAGTCGCGGACCGCAGTGAATTATCGTGCCTGATATCCCCTGGAAGCTATGTGAAAGTAGCATTCGTTTCCTGCGTCAAAAGTCGTGGACCGCAGTGTATTTATCGTGCCTGATATCCCCTGGAAGCTATCTGAAAGTAGCGTTCGTTTCCTGCGTCAAAAGTCGTGGACCGCAGTGTATTTATCGTGCCTGATATCCCCTGGAAGCTATCTGAAAGTAGTGTTCGTTTCCTGCCTCAAAAGTCGCGGACCGCAGTGTATTTATCGTGCCTGATATCCCATGGAAGCTATCTGAAAGTAGCGTTCGTTTCCTGCGTCAAAAGTCGCGGACCGCAGTGTATTTATCGTGCCTGATATCCCCTGGAAGCTATCTGAAAGTAGTGTTCGTTTCCTGCCTCAAAAGTCGCGGACCGCAGTGTATTTATCGTGCCTGATATCCCCTAGAAGCTATCTGAAAGTAGCATTCGTTTCCTGCGTCAAAAGTCACGGACCGCAGTGTATTTATCGTGCCTAGTGCCCCGTTCAGTTGGGTGAGAAACTGAGTCTCCTTCTGCGTGCTGTTTGTGGAACTCCCCCCTTTTGAGGACCGGGAAGCAGATCATTGAAACGATGAGGGGACGCCCTTGTTGATAACTGTAAGTTATTACCTGGAAAAGCCCATGGAATCCCTCTGCTGTTGCATCAGACTGATCTCAGATTCTTCAGATTCTTTAGAAAGTGTCATAAAAAGCTGAATGAAGTTACATTGTTTTAACTGCACTACTGTTATATCTGCTGCTATTCAAACCACCTTTTTAGGATTTTATTCTTTTTCTTTCAAAGCTAGTCATTTAATCTACCTTGTGTTTATTTTCTAATAGCGTAAAGTGTTTTGCATCGATGTCAGATTTCTGTAATCCTGAATTATTAGAATAGAGACATCATTGTTTAACTTGTAGTGGTTTTGTAATTCATACATGAATGATTTATCACTCAGGTTAGATCCGCCCTCTTTTGGTAACAGTTTGAATAAACAGAGATAAATAGTTCTTTGATTGATAATTAATAGCTCTGCTAATAGCCCAGCCTGGGTCACTAAACTGGGGAATAACTGGATTTTAACAGCCGGTCCAGAGCCACCTGTAGGTTAAAGGCACAAACCTGGTAAGTTAGCATATTAAAGCTACAGTTATTCAAGTAAGAACACCTAAAAAAAAAAAATATATATATATTTATTTATACAACATATATGTGGACGCACTGTATATACTGTATATACCCCATTCACCTTTTTCTCCTTTCGGCACCTTCTCTTTTTGACTATTGAGCTCAAGTAACAAGTACATTTCTCCACTGTGAAATGAATAAAGTCAATCAATCAACCAACCAATAAATCAATCAATCAACCAATCAATCAATCATGATATTGGTAAATATCATTTCCTTTTGTAAAGGTTCACTGATCCTCAGTAAATGTTCAGAAGTCTAGGAGGATTTTGCTCTTCGGTTTATTTCCAATTTCTTCACTTAATTTTACAGCATTACAGAGAAATAATCTTTGACATAAGAAGGTCCAATTGATTGAAATAACTGCAGTTCATCATGGAGACAAAGGATCAAACTGATGCATCAGAGGTTCCTGGAGCAAACAAAAGGCCTGCTGGAGGAGCAGGGCATGTCGTTCCACTGCTCTCCTGTTGGGATTAGAGGGACGAACAGTTTTGGTCAATCTTCTGCTTAAGGTCAACAGTCTGAGGAGTTTAAGAGATTCATCTGTAAATCAGGTTATAGTCCCTAAACACTGACTAACCTCCCAGGTTTATTTCCAGACAGTGTTCTGGGTTTCCTCTGTGGTTGTTTGGCTCGTCCGGATACCAGTTCTCATAATTAAACTCTGAGCCGTCGCTCCACAGCCAGGTACTGTCCTGATGACATCAGATCAAATGTAGGAGCGGTTTATTGATCCCTGATTGTCAGGCTGGTAAACCCTGTGCGTTTGCAGGACTTACGTTGACGGCGTCGTAGCCGCCGACCCAGGTGAAGTGAGTTCTACCCGTCACTCTTTCCACCATCGTACTGAGGAAGGTGTTTTCATCTGAGCTGTGGATGGACGCCAGATTCCCGCCAATAGATATGCAGAATTTCTGAAAGGTCAAAGTTTAGATGCTGATGAAAAAGATCTTAGATGTTTTCCAAAAAAATTAGAAACAATCCACTGGACTTTTTTTTCCCATCCAAAGCTTTTTCAGTTCAAAATGTCAGAAATAGCGTTTAGTTCCAGGTTTTATCCAGCAGCCCAACAAAGCCTGGTTTTAGTTTAGAAAACATGCAGATAGAAACGGATGAACGGGTCCCCCCCTTTGGAATTTGCATGTTTTCAAAACATGCAATGTGACAACGGGCGGATTAATCCTGAGATGAGCTGATAAACTTACTCCTTCAATCAGTTATTAATGTTTAAAACTGTAAAAGTACCATTTTTAAAAGTACTTGAAGTATAAAAGTAAAAGTAATGCAGGTTGTTGAGGTCAGGAGTTTTCCTGCTCTACTCTATTAAAGGAATATTTTTCTACTATTCTGGATGATAACTTCCTTAGACTTAATTTCTTAGTTTTATAACTAATGGTAACATTTGACTTTGCATCATCTTGTAAAACGATTTATTTTGGTATGTGGTGAGCAACAAGTTGGGGCAGCACCGAGTCCAACCACAAAGAAATTAATAGTCTGGATGAAACTAATTATTTTGATGTTTTTTATTTTTTTAAATACCAACAGACCAGAATGAAAATGAGCTGAAATGAAACTAAACTAACGAGTCTATTTTTAAAATGTAAGGAGTAGAAGGAAAAAGTTGAAAAAGAATAATTACTGCAGTAAAGTTTAGATAGCCGACGTTTCTTCTGAAGTAAGTTGATAAATTGTTTGTTCCTGTTTTCTTCTAAAACACCAGACAGAGCTGAAATAATCAAGAAAAGTTTTTCATTTCTTGTTTGTTTTTCCCTTCCAGTGTATTTTTTTAACAAACTTTTTGTTCAGATCTTATTCATATTAAATAGTATTTTTTGCACCTTTTTGCTTTTGATAAAAGTCATTTCTATTTCAGCTGCATCAGTGGAGGCCGGTGGAGTTTTCTCTGGGGGGGATTTAAAACCAATCAAATGTATACTAAGTTATCACACCAGTATAGTTATATTAATGCCAACAACAAAAAACATTATAAAAACACTGGTTTACTTTTTGTCCATAAATCTTGTGCTTCTGAGGCTGTGAAGGTAAAACTGTGTTTTGGTCCAAAATTGTGTCACAAACCTAAAAAAAGATAATAATAATGATAATAATAGCTATAAAAACTATTTCTTTTCTGAGAATGTGTTTATTTAAGAGCATCTATGCAAATTAACAAACATCTAGAAAAAGTAGACTAGATTCTATTATTTTCCATGTGAATCCCAGATTGTTCATTCTTCTTTTCTACCAAGTGCTTTAAATCAGTCCTAGCTGTCTTTATCCATGCTGGATCAGATCCTGACCTTTGAAAAAGAAGGCAGGCAAAGTAGGATAAAGCCTTAGCCTCGCTACATGCAGTTAGCCTCGCTGCACGCAGTTAGCCTCGCTGCACGCTGTTAGCCCCGCTACATGCAGTTAGCCTCGCTGCACGCAGTTAGCCTCGCTGCACGCTGTTAGCCCCGCTATATGCAGTTAGCCTCGCTGCACGCAGTTAGCCTCGCTGCACGCTGTTAGCCCCGCTACATGCAGTTAGCCTCGCTGCACGCTGTTAGCCTCGCTGCACGCAGTTAGCCTCGCTGCACGCTGTTAGCCCCGCTACATGCAGTTAGCCTCGCTGCACGCAGTTAGCCTCGCTGCACGCTGTTAGCCCCGCTACATGCAGTTAGCCTCGCTGCACGCAGTTAGCCTCGCTATATGCAGTTAGCCTCGCTGCACGCAGTTAGCCTCGCTACATGCAGTTAGCCTCGCTGCACGCAGTTAGCCTCGCTGCACGCTGTTAGCCCCGCTACATGCAGTTAGCCTCGCTGCACGCAGTTAGCCTCGCTATATGCAGTTAGCCTCGCTGCACGCAGTTAGCCTCGCTACATGCAGTTAGCTCGCTATATGCAGTTAGCCTCACTGCACGCAGTTAGCCTCGCTATATGCAGTTAGCCTCGCTGCACGCAGTTAGCCTCGCTGCACGCAGTTAGCCTCGCTACATGCAGTTAGCCTCGCTATATGCAGTTAGCCTCGCTGCACGCAGTTAGCCTCGCTATATGCAGTTAGCCTCGCTGCACGCAGTTAGCCTCGCTGCACGCAGTTAGCCTCGCTACATGCAGTTAGCCTCGCTATATGCAGTTAGCCTCACTGCACGCAGTTAGCCTCGCTACATGCAGTTAGCCTCGCTATATGCAGTTAGCCTCACTGCACGCAGTTAGCCTCGCTGCACGCAGTTAGCCTCGCTATATGCAGTTAGCCTCACTGCACGCAGTTCGCCTCGCTATATGCAGTTAGCCTCGCTGCATGCAGTTAGCCTCGCTATATGCAGTTAGCCTCGCTGCACGCAGTTAGCCTCGCTATATGCAGTTAGCCTCGCTGCACGCAGTTAGCCTCGCTATATGCAGTTAGCCTCACTGCACGCAGTTAGCCTCGCTATATGCAGTTAGCCTCACTGCACGCAGTTAGCCTCGCTGCACGCAGTTAGCCTCGCTGCACGCAGTTAGCCTCGCTATCTGCAGTTAGCCTCGCTATATGCAGTTAGCCTCACTGCACGCAGTTCGCCTCGCTACATGCAGTTAGCCTCGCTGCATGCAGTTAGCCTCGCTATATGCAGTTAGCCTCGCTGCACGCAGTTAGCCTCGCTATATGCAGTTAGCCTCGCTGCACGCAGTTAGCCTCGCTATATGCAGTTAGCCTCACTGCACGCAGTTAGCCTCGCTACATGCAGTTAGCCTCGCTGCATACAGTTAGCCTTGCTATATGCAGTTAGCCTCGCTGCACGCAGTTAGCCTCGCTGCATGCAGTTAGCCTTGCTGCATGCAGTTAGCCTCACTGCACGCAGTTAGCCTCGCTGCATCCAGTTAGCCTCGCTGCGTGCAGTTAGCATCGCTGCGTGCAGTTAGCCTCGCTGCGTGCAGTTAGCCTCACCTTGGAGCTAAACCAGGCCCTGGAAAAGGGCCGCCATTTCTCTCTCTCTCTCTCTCTTATGCGTGTCTTACTCCCGCGACTCGACCTGCCAATCACCTGCTAAACGTCTGAGCTGTGGCGGGAGATGGTGAGTAAATACACTTCCTGTCACCTCAAGTCGCTGCTTAGCTGCAAATGGGCAAAGATGTTTGCACCCTAGGGTGGAAATACGTCACCAATCTGAAGGAAAATAGAATGACGCTTTACTAGTCATTAAAGATTAAATATTTATCTTGCACATCTAAAAAATACATTTCAATTAATATATTTTGAAATATTTTAAATGTTAATTTAAAATTAAATCATAAAAAATATATTTTTTTAATGTCTTAATTCATTGGGTCATTGGGTGGGTGGGGCGGTGCCCTAGCGCCCTCTATTGACCAGCCGCTACTGAGTTGCAGCCTTAAAGGACAATGCGCTAACAAAGGCAGTTCTGTCCGGTACCTCTGCATCGACCCATGTCTTGGACTCGTAGTAGAAGATGAAACAGCGAGAACCAAACTGCGTCCAACCAGGAGGACAAGGAGCGGCACAGACCGGAGCTGCAACAAACCCAGAAATCACACAAAGGAAGTAGAAATCAGTCAGGAAAACCATCCGGTAAGGCATGTTCATAGAAACTAGAGTTCAGGCTGATGCTGACGGCTCTGAGGGAACAGAACCAACCTGCCCCGAGGTTCTCACTTTGAGCAAACGCCTGCAGAGACACAAAACATTGGAACCAGAAACCATCGGATCAATCGTCCAAAGCTTTTCACCACATTAATGAAAGTCAGAGTTCATGTGACTCACAGCTTTAACAGCCAGGAGGCTGATGATGGAGCCGAGGAGGAACGTCAGCTGGAGAGCAGCCGGCATCTAAGAGACGGACACTGAGGATCAATTAAGGCTGCATTCAATCACTGCTAAAGGAGAAAAGAAAGCTGTTAGATGTTACCTTTGCTCCTCTGATCCTCCAACAGATGATCCCAGCTGGAGGAAGGATCTTATATAGCCTGTCAGTGTCTCAGTCTGGAATGCTGAATGGCCACATTTCACGTCTCCTTTAATTAACGAGGGAACATGAGAGAGAAAGCTCCTCCTGACATCGCCTGACTTTCCAAACACCTTAATTAGTCCTGTTTGGTTGATTGATGCCTGAAGTTTAACCAACAGGAAGTTCTTCCAGGCAGACAGGCTGGTGAATTCATCTTACTTCAGGCAGCAGCTTCAGGGGGTCCCTGCCTTTCTCCAGCCTGGCTGCGAAGCTGAGTCTGAAATATAATGATATCAGTGCAGGAACCCGTCTTTCCTGTTGGAAGATATTTGCCTGGAAACAGCGTGAATGCAGCTGATGGCGGTGTTCTGTCAGATCAGCATACCCAGTCAGATCAGCATACCCATTGTCAACACATGTTTATCACTTATGTTTTGAATGAAAAATAGACTTAAAGTGGTAATAGAATGCAAAACCGAGTTTCCATTATCATATATGAATAACGATAGTTCAGTGGGTGAAATGGACGTACAGAGAAGTTCTAACCCATCAACACCTCCTTTCTCTGCAAATCTCACAATTCTAAACTTATGGGGATGTTGCCTTACTTGGCTCTGGCCCCTACTTTTGTCACGCTCCGCAATTGACATACATTCACATACGGACTGCGAAGACATTTTCAGTCTTCCCAAGGATCTGAAGACTCAACAGGCAAGGATTATTTTACTACCATATCAACAATCGGATGTTTCAGTGAGTGAGTGCTTGTTGCTATGATGCGTCTTTGCTCAGCAGCTTGGCTCGTTGTAAACCAACCAATCAGAGCACAGCTCATCTAAATATTCATGATCAAACGATAAAAGGAAGAAAACCTGTGGTTTCATTCTAGGGCTTTTAACCAGGCTGCATTAGGGCTCATAGAACAGCTAATATGCCATTTTCAGACCAACCAATGTTACACACCCTATTAGAGACCTGAAGGACCAGATACCCTATAGAATCATTCTATCACCCTATTAGAGACCTGAAGGACCAGATACCCTATAGAATCATTCTATCACCCTATTAGAGACCTGAAGGACCAGATACCCTATAGAATCATTCTATCACCCTATTAGAGACCTGAAGGACCAGATACCCGATAGAATCATTCTATCACCCTATTAGAGACCTGAAGGACCAGATACCTTATAGAATCATTATATCACCCTATTAGAGACCTGAAGGACCAGATACCCTATAGAATCATTCTATCACCCTATTAGAGACCTGAAGGACCAGATACCTTATAGAATCATTATATCACCCTATTAGAGACCTGAAGGACCAGATACCCGATAGAATCATTCTATCACCCTATTAGAGACCTGAAGGACCAGATACCTTATAGAATCATTATATGACCCTATTAGAGACCTGAAGGACCAGATACCCGATAGAATCATTCTATCACCCTATTAGAGACCTGAAGGACCAGATACCCTATAGAATCATTCTATCACCCTATTAGAGACCTGAAGGACCAGATACCCTATAGAATCATTCTATCACCCTATTAGAGACCTGAAGGACCAGATACCCTATAGAATCATTCTATCACCCTATTAGAGACCTGAAGGACCAGACACCCTATAGAATCATTCTATCACCCTATTAGAGACCTGAAGGACCAGATACCCGATAGAATCATTCTATCACCCTATTAGAGACCTGAAGGACCAGATACCCTATAGAATCATTCTATCACCCTATTAGAGACCTGAAGGACCAGATACCCTATAGAATCATTCTATCACCCTATTAGAGACCTGAAGGACCAGATACCCGATAGAATCATTCTATCACCCTATTAGAGACCTGAAGGACCAGATACCCTATAGAATCATTCTATCACCCTATTAGAGACCTGAAGGACCAGATACCCTATAGAATCATTCTATCACCCTATTAGAGACCTGAAGGACCAGATACCCTATAGAATCATTCTATCACCCTATTAGAGACCTGAAGGACAAGATACCCGATAGAATCATTCTATCACCCTATTAGAGACCTGAAGGACCAGATACCCTATAGAATCATTCTATCACCCTATTAGAGACCTGAAGGACCAGATACCCTATAGAATCATTCTATCACCCTATTAGAGACCTGAAGGACCAGATACCCGATAGAATCATTCTATCACCCTATTAGAGACCTGAAGGACCAGATACCCTATAGAATCATTCTATCACCCTATTAGAGACCTGAAGGACCAGATACCCTATAGAATCATTCTATCACCCTATTAGAGACCTGAAGGACCAGACACCCTATAGAATCATTCTATCACCCTATTAGAGACCTGAAGGACCAGACACCCTATAGAATCATTCTATCACCCTATTAGAGACCTGAAGGACCAGATACCCTATAGAATCATTCTATCACCCTATTAGAGACCTGAAGGACCAGATACCCTATAGAATCATTCTATCACCCTATTAGAGACCTGAAGGACCAGATACCCTATAGAATCATTCTATCACCCTATTAGAGACCTGAAGGACCAGATACCCTATAGAATCATTCTATCACCCTATTAGAGACCTGAAGGACCAGATACCCTATAGAATCATTCTATCACCCTATTAGAGACCTGAAGGACCAGATACCCTATAGAATCATTCTATCACCCTATTAGAGACCTGAAGGACCACATACCCTATAGAATCATTCTATCACCCTATTAGAGACCTGAAGGACCAGATACCCTATAGAATCATTCTATCACCCTATTAGAGACCTGAAGGACCAGATACCCTATAGAATCATTCTATCACCCTATTAGAAACCTGAAGGACCAGATACCCTATAGAATCATTCTATCACCCTATTAGAGACCTGAAGGACCAGATACCCTATAGAATCATTCTATCACCCTATTAGAAACCTGAAGGACCAGATACCCTATAGAATCATTCTATCACCCTATTAGAGACCTGAAGGACCAGATACCCAATAGAATCATTCTATCACCCTATTAGAGACCTGAAGGACCAGATACCCTATAGCAGCGGTCTTCAAGGTTTTCCAGGAACTGATTGTGAGATGGAGCGGGGACCCCCTAATTATAGATATGGTGTGAAATAGTGTTCTATCAAACTGGTCCTATAGTCACTCTATCACAGATGGAGTAATGTAACTAAAGTAATCCCTCCCTGGGATTATTAAAGTATTTCTGATTCCTGGTTGATGGGACAGGTGTTGTGAATGAAACGGTGCCCAGCCTGAAAGAGCTCCTGTGTGTCTCTGAATGTGAGCATTGATGACTGAAAGACATCTTCTGCCTCCATTGATCTGTTTACTACAGTCTGTTCAATTCATGTTCATGTGGATTTAAAGACATTTCAGTTAGTGGAAAAAATTGCAGGAGGGAATATTTAAAAAAGTAATCAACCAAGACTTTCGCGACCCCCATGCAGTACCTCTGTGGACCCCTTGTTGAAGACCTCTGCCCTATAGAATCATTCTATCACCCCTTTAAACTATTTTTTGAGCCGATGCCATTTTTTGGCCCTGATACCTGGCTGTGCAGGATCGGCCGATACCATCTGTTTGAAATTGATATGTGTGTGTATCTATGAAGAACTGCAGACTACTGGGATGTAAAATAATTGGCTTTGTCAAGCTGCTGCCTGCCTTTGTGAAGCAGGAAACAGAGTAATACAAAGTGAATCCAGTAGAACTTTTTATTGCCTACCTGGAATGGGCGACAATAGTTGAAGAAACTTTTGGCTCTCAAAGGCCAAAATAGTGAAATTATAACATGTATCATAGTAGTGCAACAGTAAGACAGTAAAATAACTCTCGCTGGTCTGGATCAGGCCCATATCCATAGTTAACAGTAGTGAGTGTCGAGAGAGAGAAAAGGCTGCGTTCGAGTAAAATAGAAACATCAAAATGGTATCGGTGCCCTGTTTGTTGGTCCTCGCCAACACCGATACCACCATTTTAATGCCCCGCCTGATACTGTCATGATTTTCTTAAGGGATCTGACCCACATGCAGAAACCAGGGTAAAAGTTTAACAGGTTTATTGAGGGGTTGGATTCAGGAAACTCAGGGTACTGGTGAACCGGAACTGGAAATGGGACGGGAAGTATCAGAGGTTAGTTCAGGGCCCATTGGAACTTTGAATGACGACTTTGGAAAAACAGAGAAAACGGGACTCACGTTAGTGGAGAGAACTTTCTTCCCAGAATCCAGTCTTGTGTGGGTTAACCAGAGGGAGGAACTAGTTGGAGGGCGGACATGTTTTGATTTGGTTGGTTCCTGAGGCACTGTCGATTGGAATCCAGGAGGTCTTGAACGGAACTTGTGGAGGTTAATCCCCTGCTCAATGTGAGACTCAAACAATCCTTCCACTGGAAGAAGGCCAAAAACATCCAGCTTGCAGGATGGCTTCCTGCCGAAAGGCAAAAGACAAACATACAGTTAGAACTCAGAGAAACAAAGACTCAGTTAGACTCAGCTAATCTCAGCTTGGCTAGGTACCCAAAACTGGCAAACACTCTGGCGTCGAGATAGTGACAGACCACCGCTTAAGTAGTCCTCAGTGATGAACCAACCGGCCGCAGGTGTGCGAGAGGACCAACGAGAAGAGGGCACCACCTGGTGAAATTCAGTCCTTTTCTTTTCATAATTCACCTCAACCATTTGAGAGGGAATGGATCTGATGTAAACTTGTATTTTTATGCAGATGACACCTTCATTTATGCCAGTGGAGCCTCTCCTACTGAGTCAGTAGGTTCTGTCCTCTTTATTACATTTAACTCTTGTTTATTAAACTGATTAAAGCGCATTCATATTTTTTCCAGATCTATTGGTTCTCCAAAGATCCCCTCAGTTTTTCCTTAGTGGAGGAAATTTGCTGCTCACATAATATCTGCTCATTCTGATGATTCCTACAGCCTCTGAGGAAAAGGCTCAAATTAAAGCTGTTTTATTTTTCATAAGCTGCTAGAAAGA